CTCAATATTGTGTTTTTCGAGGCATTTTCGCGAAATGCGAGCTTTTTATGTGTCAGTGTGATAGAAGTGATTTTTTAACTGTCAATTTTGTTCAAACGTTTTCCTCAACTTGCTGCGCTTTTCGAATGAATGATGATTTTTGTCTACCTAAAAGTTTTTAAAATACGTATTGTAGCTTTTTCGCACTTTTAACTTTAGTCGTGACGAGCGGGTGCAAAACAGGCTATTGTAGTCTTCGCATATTCATTAGTTTTGTCAAACTGATAGTGGTGATCAACATCACTGAGCAATCAAATGTTACGAGTCAAAATGGTTATTGTGCTAGCAATTCTTTAACACTAGTTTTCCTCAACTTTCTTCACTTTTATTGTCTACCGAGAAGTTTGGAAAGTTTGTATGTTTCTTTCCCGGTACTTTTAAATTTATTCAGAGGCAAGCTGGAGGTAATTCCCGCGGCAATAGGCCTTTTCCAAAAATACCATGATACTCTTTGTTGTCGCTCCAAAATTTTGCATTGGCATTGTTTTCAATTTCTTTTGTGGCGAAAGGCGTATTGTCTACTTATTCACTAGCCAGTTTTCTCACCGATTTGTCAAGTTTTAATCAAGTCGGCATTTTTTTTTTCTGAATGCGTCTAATTCAAGCGTTAGTCTAATTGTTCACTGATGAAGTGAGTGCTTTGTTTGCTCAATGTAATGTCAGTTCTCATGCTTACCCACTAGTATACTGTTTTTAACCAAGAGCTACGTTATGTAATTATGAGCGAGTCGGCAAACGTTTCTCTTTGAATGTGACCAATCTATGCTTTGATTACCCATTGTTGAACACAGAATGCGTGCTTTTCTCACGTGTAGTTTCAAGAAAAGATTTATCAAAAACATTTCTCGTTCTGGTTTGAATTTTAATCGAGCCACCGTATATATGAAGACACCAATTTGAAGTTGATTTAACTGTGTTTCAAGCCATGCAGAAACCTCCGTACCTTTCATTGCCTGCGGTGCAGTGAAGACCAAACTCAGCTAGGCGATCTCTGGCTGGAATGAAAGTCAAGATTCTCTTTTGCCTCCTCGAAAACAGCAGGTTTGTTCTTAGTTGAACTTTAACTTTTGGTTACGTTATAGTTTACTTTTTTTCTGAAACAAATTATAGGAATAAAGAAACGGTGATAAGCGTCCGAATGCTGTAACTTGCTTTGACGGTTCTTGCTGGTTATTTTTGCTGCAGAAAGAAACTATTCTTTCAGACTTTAACTGATTTTCTGTCAAAATTCTTTCCTCTGTGTGTTATTGTCGCCCGAAGTTACCTGTAAACATGCATGGTCCCTTTGTTATGTTGGCTCAATGAATGTCAGTTGAACTGGAGGGACAAAACTGAATGTAATAAAGGTTTACCTGTAGTCCACAAGATAAACGCGAGTTGTGATTGTTAGGGTCAAATAAGCCTATTTTGTTGATGTTTATGTAGTTAGAACTTTTCGCTTTTATTAAATAAGCGCATGTTCACTTTTGTAGCTACACTAAATGAACTTCAAACGTTGGACAATTTTTGGTACTCTGACTCAGGCTATATGCTTTTGTAATTGATTAACCCTGACTGCGACCTTATTAATTAATGTGCGATTTGAATTTAAACTATGCTTTTATGCCGCACAAACGGGATGCAAACAAACCTACTATTGGCACTTTTGGCGGTAAAGAGCTTAGCTTGCATCGGGAGAGAATTTCGATGATTCCAGGGACGGTTCAGGCTGACATAAGATAATAGTCAACAGAGGGGTAAGACAGGTCTGAATTAAACTGAAGGTAACGAGAAACCAGTTAAACAAGAAAATAAGGTTAACTCAGAGTGCAATTCTTGCGCGTTTGTACAGTAATATTTCCAACAACAAATAACATTTTCCATTTTTTAACAGGTACTGCCTAACCATAAAGAAAAGCGGAACAATTTGCCTTGCAAGAAAGTCTTCAAAACAACAATAAAAGTACTGCCACAGTCCTTAACAAGGATATGCAGCCAACTCATTTGTGTGTCTGTCATTTATTCAGTATGTACCAAACCTATGGTAAGTTCAATTTTTGCACAACACAGTCGGTTAGTCGGGTCTTCACGCAATTTCCCATTGTTTCCAACAGGTTATTATTTTAGATAAATTTTAAGAACAGGTCGCTGACGTGAAACAGAAGATAATTATTAGAAGTAATAACCTACTGTTTCAATTCAGTAACCATAATAATAACCTGCTGGTTCTAAAACTGTGGAGAAGAACGCGCTCGGTAATTGTATTTTTAAAAAGGTCTCGAGGCTCAGCAATTAAGCTATATTTTTTCTCATTTTGCATCTTTCCTTTCATTATATTTTATGTGAGTTTTTTGGTGTATTTGACAGTTCTGGTTTGGTATATACACCAAAAAACTGCTAGTCGTATTTCCTCATATATTGAACCTCTTAAAGCCTAACAGAGAAAAATATCACAATCTAAAAAAAGTTTACACTTTCCAATTCCGTAAATATAGTTCGGAATCCTAGGGAAAACGAAACCTTAACCACAGCTACATTCCGCAGAAAAACCAAACATCAAAAGTAAATACAATAAAAAAAAGTGTAGCAAAAATACATCAAACGTATTCCAACAAAAGTACTCAAAAGAACACCACCGACCAACTATCCAGCAAAACAAAACACGGTAGGTTAAAAGGTAAGTAACAAGGTAAGTTCTTCTTTTTAGCCCGGGGGACTAAGTGCTCCGCCCAAGGGGGGAGAGCCCGGGGGACTAAGTGCTCCGCCCAAGGGGGGAGAGCCCTGGGGACTAAGTGCTCCGCCCAAGGGGGGAGAGCCCTGGGGACTAAGTGCTCCGCCCAAGGGGGGAGAGCCCTGGGGACTAAGTGCTCCGCCCAAGGGGGGAGAGCCCTGGGGAC